AGGGGGAAGGGAAGGGGGAGAAGGGACTAAGCTCGCGACAGGTTCCAATGAACCTTGAACAAACTTCGGTCGCTGCGACCACGTACGGCTTGCCTGAGGGCTGCCACCTCTGACCGCTGCGGTCACCTAAAGGCATGAGCCAGCTTGGAATTCCCAAAATGAGACAAAATCATCATACATACGGCCTAGGCCACCTACGCTTGCTGCGAGCTGCTCTGTATCCGGGCAGGGGATACGTTGGACATACACCCGTTCGACGGGTCCACGGGAGGCACTCTGCGGGCTCATCCCGGGTTGGCACGAGGCCAAACACACTTAGGATAGGGTGTACTGAACTGAAAGCGGTGCCACACGCCGGCCAAGGGTTCCATTTCCTAAGGGTACCAGTACGAACCACGGGAACCTGGAGGACTTCAAGAGGAAAGAAGGCCAAAAGCTCAAGGCGAAAACGGACCGACGGGGTGACGGCGTAACGTGCATGTCTGCGGAACTCACTAGCCCTTTACTAAGGGTAGAAACTAGCTGGGTTCTCGGCTTAGCCCAGTGGCCACGCACGGAAAAACTCAAAGCAGGTACGTGAGAGTGATCAGCTCTCATTTCCCGTACAATCAGGTAGCTTCGTTGGACATGGTCCCTGATTGTACGCCATGTCCCCCTGCTGCACAAGGAAAACAACTGTGAAGCTAAAACAATCCGAAAGGATCCCTATGATTCCAAGGGTTACACACACACACAATAGGGGTGTCCATTTGGATTGCCTTACTATTTCCTCTTCACGGAGATGGCAGGACTAACAAGGAGGCCGCAGTTGCCTCTGCCCTCTCCCTAGTTGAACAATGCATGGGCTGCACATTGCATGACATGACATGTTGTGAGTATTGAATTATTGGCTATAAAATGCCCTAAGCACCTAAGCAAAGCGCCTTCACGGGGCCTTTCCAAACTTTTGTTGTGTGACATCAGGTCAGCTCGCTGATCGCTGGCCGGCTATTACAAGCCTAGTCAGGCCCGTTGTGCTTTGAAACCTTGATTTTCTGTTTACAAGAATCATTATTTGTCGAGTTCTTTCCACACTCAAAAAGAGCAGAGACGCCCGTGTCAGGTCGAAGTGCATGCCGGCACTCTTGTGTTAGGATCTGTCAATCTTCGAAGAAGATTCCCACATGCTAATGACCTAGCTGGTGATCCAGCTTCTGAGTTGACTTTTTGGATGTTCCTCTTTCCGTGGTGGGTCAGGCGGACCGTCCTCAGTGGACAGCATGGAAATTCATTGATGTTTGTTCGTATAGAACAATTGTTTTTACTTTGTGGTTTTCGCCTTGACTTTGAAACTAACTTCTCAAGGTGAAGTTTCACAGACATGCTCGGCATGTCCTAACGCCTTGCGGGCACACCGAATAGACATGAGAGATGGGAGACCCAGATGAGACGCAATTGACAGGTTTGCTTGATGTTGCCTGTCCTGTGTTTGGCCTGTAAGAATGCCTAAAGTAGCATGTTTGCGCTGACCTTGTACTTTGCAGAAGCACTAGAGACGATGTATTTGCTACAGAGTTTTTGTATGTATTCTTGAAGGAAGACTCGAACCCTGGTTTCAGTTCAAAACGCCAAAGAAGACTTTACTAGTTGACAAAACATCTCTGATTGAAACCTTGAGCCTGTCGAAAGTTCAAGGTCGGAGTCTCAGTGTTTTCTTCAAGGCCCTTCTTTGTCGTCTTGGAACACGTGAAGACATATATTTTCCATATGATGCCATGCACCGTAGGAGCCTCTTGCTTTAGTTCTATCCTTCTTCTTGAGTGGAATAGGCTGAGGAACGCTGCATGAAAGCCACACCTGCAGTGTTGAAATGATATGCCGGTAGTCCTTTCAGGGCATAATCATTTTGATTCAGACTGGAGCTCATACCAAGAATCTGAGGAAGCAGCACAGCAATCCCACCTGTATTTTCCAACAGAGCCAGACCTTACTCCCCATTTTCTGTGGACTTGGCAACTGAGGGAATTTCATGGAGGCGTGGGGGAGCACAGATTCAGTTTGATAGAGACTGATGCAGGAACCAAAATTCGTCCTGAAACATCACATTTGGAGACAGAAGTCACCTCTTTGTGATTGCAAGCTGCCCTTGAATTCAACTCTTGGTTTTTGATCCATTCCCATGGTTGACTCCAAAACTAGAGTTCACAGTGCTTTGCGTTCAATTGCCAAGGCCTACACCGCCTTTGTCGAAGGTTTTCCCTGCTGGACAAGCCACCCAGGCCACTCCAGCAAAATCTCATCCAGTGAACCTAACAGGACCTACTCCTTGCTGTTGACTTTCACCATCTTTCGGCAGCAATCACAACAGCACTAGAGAGTGAAAGACAAACAACAAAGCTTGTTTGTGTTTTCTGGTCGACAAGTAGTGAGAAGCATCGATGGGTAGTGTTGATGAGCTTTATCCTGTTTCCGGAGCTTTGCTGCAAACAGGCCTCCCGCTGTTGCCTTAGAATCACTATCTCGAGTTGTTTGTCAGCTGTGGGCAAACCGTCTGATCTGGACTTGCAGAAGTTCATCATGGATTAGCAGTCATTTTCGCAACGTTTGTGTCTCTGTGGTGAGCAAGCATCAGGTCCTAGCTTTGAGGATGAGGACCTCGCGTGCATGTGGCAGTAGAAATAGGTTTCCCGATCCGACAAGGAAGCTGAAGGTCCGCATTTCCATTTGTGTAAGAGCATAGATATTCGTTGGCCTGTCTCCAATGTGCTTTTGCTTCAGGAAGTTCTGCTATCCTTTTAGTATATCTTTCTGAGGAGCCAACATACTTACCACCTTTGCGGGTGAAAGCTCCTCGACCTAGGCGAGATGATCATGCAGAGGTGACATGCACAACCTTTCTGAACTCCAGTCTCCGTGAGAATCCCTACAGGCCTAAGTTGTACTTAAGTCCACTTTAAACATATTTGTGCATGTAGTAGCTTTCTTGCTATTAGAAGTTTAGCCAACCCAGTCTGTGCGTCCAAGAGAAGTCGAAGGTAAAGCAACCAGGAAGAGATAACAGGATAACAATGGAACTGACATCATTACTATTTTGTCAAACTGACCCAGGAGCAAGAAGCTACTAGGAACAAGAAGCTACTAGGAACAAAGAAAGCTTGTCCAACTTTTGGGCGCCGCGAGGCAATTGGGTGGGACTGAGTTCTATGGGGCAGTGCCCAAGCACAGTGCCACCTTTGCATGGTCAGAGCTGTGTGCCACGTGGGAGACCTAAGACCTCATTGCAGACCTTTTCACCAATTTTTTTGATCTATTTTTAATAAAGAGAAGAGAAAAAGAAGAAAAAGAAGGTAAGTCAGGGTTTATGCAATCTCTTTAAAGGGGCATGACTTTCTTTGTCTCTTTTTAGACCTGTGTGCGACTACTTTGGGAGCCGTTTCTTACAGCAGTCCTTCGCTTCTGAACTACCCTCGGTTCGGACTGTAGTAGTCCGGCAGGATTAAGTAGGATTCAAATTCAGAATAAGTACACACATTTGCATGTATTATAAAATATGTATTTGTACAAGATGGTGCAAGTCTTGCAGCTAGATGCGGCTAGCAACCCGCATTTAATTTGAGGCCTGATCCAGAAGCATCCTTGGCACCAGTGCCACAAGTGCCGATGAAGTCCTGGTGCGCCCCAAAGCGATTGCCTGAACATGCAATGTAGTCAATGTCGTTTGCGTTGAAGAGGTGCCTAAATTGAGGTGTCAAAGCAGGTTTTGGAGTCGCAGGTACAATTCGTATGTCTATGTCCCCGAGCCGAGCAGCGAGGATGGGGATTGAGTGAGTGTGGGAGTTTGTTGCTGCAAGAGGGCCTTCAAAGGTCACATCTCCAAGGGATTGAGTTGCATAGTTTTTCAGCTCCTGGCATCGCTACTAGTAACAAGGGCATCGCTACTAGGAGCAAGGAGGCTACTAGTAGAAATGCGCTTGGCTACTAGTAGATTTTTGTTGCATAGTTTTTCAGTACATGCTTGCAACATTGCTTCGCTCATTTTCTAGAAACAGCACCCTGAGGCTCGGCAATATACTCAGCGCTTCGCTAGAGGTCCAAATGGTGAGTGGGTTGATGTCGTGAAGGCGCCAAGGGATTTGACCGGGAAGCTTGCAAAGTTGAAAGAAGCTCAGAAAGCTTCTTTTAGCGTTCTTGCTTCAATGCTCATCGGTTCGGTCTCCTGTTTGGCCGACTTCAGCAACTCTATTGGCTAGTCTCCATCGCTATTAGGTTGGAGGCCACTATTCAGTAACTCCATTATATCACTAGTCTTACCATTACGCTTGCAGTAGGGCGTAAGGGCAGTGCACGGACTAGAGGCGCGGCGCCTGCTAGATGCGATGGATGCTGCACAGCAGAAACAGCTGCTTGGGCTTCTATTTTGGAAAACGACTAGGAGCAAGAAGCTACTAGGGGCTCCTGGCATCGCTACTAGGAGCAAGGACGCTACTAGGGGCTCCTGGCCTTACTACTAGGAACAAGAAGCTACTAGGGGCTCACAATTTGACTCGATCAAATGTTGTCATTGGCTGAAGGCCAAAACTGTGAGAGGGCAGTTGAGCACGGCACACAAGCTTTTCTATTGCCTTCTTCCATCACAAACTGTCTTCATAGATTTTGTGCTTTGTATCTATCCAGTTATCAAGCTTTTCAATGCTTAGTGTCTCCTTTCTTTAGCTGTAGCTTAGTCTCTCCACCTCCATCAATTTGCTTCTTTCAGTGCCAGAAGCGTATCCTTTGACAAAGCCGACCTTGGGTCTGGAAGTGTGTGGCTATATAGTTCCTTGCCAACCGGGTCCATGCTACATGCGTTGCTTCTTTTTGAGAACAAAACAAGGTTCAATGTGATGTTGCCGAGCGGGGCAAGCGGGTGAACAAAGCAGAGGCAAAGCGACGAAACGCCGTGACCATCTGGCTGCGAGGCAGAAAAGGTACGGTCCCACCTTTTCCTATTGCTTTTGTTTGTCCTCGTTGCCCATGGTGTTGCCAACTTCCGGCATTTGGTTCCTCCACGAAGGCGGTCTTTCCAAATGTGTTGCTCTTGCACACCTGAGAACTGCACTAGTTTGTCATCACCTCACCAAAGAGGTAGACGAGCAGGAAGGATCACAGGCAAAAGTGTCCAGGTGAGTGCCCAGGTCGGGTTGCCGTCAAAATGTCTCGTGATGTCTCGCAATAACAGGTGTAAGGAAAGGTCGCCTAGGGGGGTAGGTCGGTAGGTATAAGGTATAAGACAGAAGCATTTTTTTGACTTGGATATGGAGGATGTCTTTTGGAGACCGGCAACCGATTCTGTGCTGATACTGCTGCTGGCAATCAGCACAAACTGAACAAAACCAGGCAGAACTGGCAGGCGCGCTACCTCATTCCACAGCACACTTGCACTTCAGGTGTGGCCAACTGCAGAAAATTCTGCAAGTTTCTTTGCATGTCATTCCTTTGTTTCAAGCAGTACAATTCATGAAATACTCATGGAAATGGAACATCGCCCCTTGGATGACCATTTTGCTCTACAAACAGGTGGTCTTCCACTTCCAACATTATTTCCGGGAGTGCAATCCTTCGTGGTTGGTATGCGCTTTGCGATCGGATCCTCGAGAATTTGGTGTTAAGCCTTTGAAATTGTCGGGCTCCTTCCAAGGATGCGAGAGGAGATGGAGCGTGTCAGGGGCCAAATGAACCGACAGGTAACATGGTAGTTAGGTCTACTCCGTCGCTGCAAGTCGGGTTGTTTGTGCTTCAGGAGATGGTCCTCGCGGGCATGAGCCATTTGGGAAGCGCAGTAGAAGCTGATGGGCACAGCATCAGTGGCATCCACCGTACCCATTACATGGATCCGTGACCCGGGCAATTGGACATTGGGAGCAGGTTACATTGACAATGTCCGTTTCCCTTGCGTGGTGGCATGTTTCTTTCCCCGTGGATTGCTAAGAAGTTTGAGTTTATGTTTAGGAAAACATAAGATGCCATAGCACTTGTAACCCGGCGAGTGAAGCAGGCGCTCCTTGGTACTCTTGCCTCTTTTCCACGTGCAAGCACCCTGAACACAAGCTCCAGAGGTATTCCGGTGAGAAACTGATTGCCTGCAAGTGGCCTGGCCATTTCTACATTGATTTAGTTGGCATGTTCCTTTCAATATCATCATTCTTGAAGCACACTTTTTGAATGTCTAATTTTACTGTCCCGCTTTGGCTGTGCTGACACAAACAGAAAGAGACCTGAGACCCGTTTCAGTTTTCTTGCTGAAAGATGGACTCCAGGGGACAGCTTCAAACTAGGGAAGAGATCCTCGACCAGTGCGCTTGAGAAGAGGGCTTTGAGGAGGGACCGACTTGCTCGCAGCTTTGACTTGAGTTGGTCCAGGTACCACATTAGGGGTGCAGCCACTAGCTCAGTCAGATGGAAGCGGTCTTAAACGGTCAGCGCTGATTCATATTTCTTCACTCTGCATGTGGAATATTTTTGTGAGCACATTGATCATGTTGGCCACATTTACATTTGCTTGTTAGTTCTAGTGCAGGCTAGGTCACCTTGACACTCGGAAACTGTGAGGTGCTGCCACCAGAGGAGTGGTTCGACTTTGACAACCTGCGCTTTCCATGGCCTTTTACAAAGCGTCTCAACTTGTCACCTGAGTTACCGTTTGCGCAAACGTGTTGCCGTCGGAGTTGTGTTTGGGCGTCATGGGCCTCGTTCTTGTGGTGACTGTTCACAGGCTTTGACCTTGCTGGCAAACATGACAGTGAGAATCAGGTTCCTCAACAATTTAGGAGGCTATGCCAGTCTATGCTACTACCAGCCGAAGGCCTTTTCACATAAGAAAGCATTCAAATGGAGCTCCAAATAGATAAGAAGAAGAACAAAATAGACAAGCACAGATTCGGCGAGAAATATTTTTAAACGAGCTCTCTTTCTGGGCTCTGGTTTTCTCTCACCTGGGCTGAGACACGACCGGAACAAGCCAGTCTCCCAGCACACGCTTGATTCTCAGTTGCAGGACGACGAGCGGAGATACTGTAGTCGAAAGCTCTACAAGATTTGACTAGTGAAAGCTAGACAAATATGAAGCTGGTTCTTCATGTTCACCAATGTGAGATGTCACGATCTTTTGAAGGCATGCCTTATGCAATGTGAAAAGTCATGTATATACAGTATTATAGTTGCTTCGTGATTCGTAGGTATGATTGGTTCGACAGACGCAACGTGTACATTCCAAATGATCGCAGGCGGTTGATGTCAGCTCGTTTCAGAGTGCCTGTTAGTGAAACTTTGTTTTGTTTCTTGATCCCTTTAGGCTTTTGGCTTTGTCCTGTTTGCAGTTCCACACCCCAAAACGCAAGTCTTTGTGCCAGTTGTGAGCTTGTGGAGATGCCCAGCGTGTACTTGGAGCGCCACGAGCTGGAGAGGTATCGCACTTATACTGGGTAACAGTTTTTTCACGGCAATTTCTTCCTGTTTGGTTTGTAGGGCTTGCGACGCAAGATTACAAGAAAGACTTTAACAGTGGGCATCATGAACGAAGCGGCACTCCCTTTTCCTGTCATGGTGGGCATGGAGTCGTTGGTTGGCCCACTACGCCTCTCCTCAGACTTTTTCACACTCAATCTTGCAATATTGTTGATGCATTAGCATTCCTGCTTGTTTCGCTCATTCAGGGCCATGCATTTTTGTCTAGTCTCTCAGCCCTGATGATGTTTGGCCTTGTTTCAGCCAGCTCTCTTTTTGTGCTCAATTCACATGTGCCGAAACTTGGGGCTTGCGCAAACCTAAAGCATGGCGATTTCCAAGAGAGGCTCCTGACTCGAATCCACCAATTAGCTCTGAACTCTGAGATACGCCATACGCTTCTCCGCCCTTGACGAACTCTACAACTGTTCTTCCGAAAAAAAGAAAGAACATAGAAAAAACAGACACCTCTCGACCCTCCTTTCAACAAGCCAATGTTTGCACTACATCTTCCTCAGGTGGTGGCGTGAAGAGCCGCAAGGAGCTGCACCAGCTCCGATGCCACAGCCCCGTCAGTGCCTCAGAGTTGAAACCCCAAAACTACCCCCCAAGAAAGTCCTTTTCATTTTCATTATCTTCTTCGTCTTCATTTTTTGCAAAGAAGTGCTTTTCTCTCTGATTTTTTTTTGAATCGGGAACCCATGAAAGTTGGTGCACCTCTTGAAACGGAGGCAGCATGAGATGGCATGGATGGCATCTCATATATGTGAGGCGTTCAGCAAGTGGTCCTCTAGGCGATGGTCGGCCAAGCTGTCCATCGCTTCTTCGTGAGAGATGCGAGAGTAGCGGTCGCCTAAGTTGAAAGAACTTGACAGAACTCAGTGCGAATCCAGATCAAGCGTCAGTGTCACCGTGTGGAGTGTCCTTGGAGTGAAGTCCCACTTGTGTACCCTTCGTACTCTCACGTTCCATTTAAAGCTACTGTATTCGGATGTAATGTGGAATGCATGTCACTTCATGCAGCCTTTGCAACCTTCTTGAAGAAAACAACTTTTAAGGCATTCCTACAGGATTTTATTATGGCCATAAATGGCAAACTGTAAATATCCAGTAGCGCAGCCACATTGAAAACTCGCTTGAGCACAAGGATGCAAGAAAAGACGCCTTCCAACATGCTTTGCTGCTAGCAGAAAACATGTCTCCATTGCAGGTCAAGACTGTGAAGTGGTCACTCTTCCTGTGAATGCTCAAGCAACAAACTTGAGTCGGCATTCAAGCAACCGAACATTTGACGTTCGTCGTACATACCATGCATATGTATGCAAATGGATATATATATATACATATAAATATCATATCAAAGATCATATACAGAATATGGTAGAATTCATAGGATAGTGGTCCTTGACATCAAGGCAACTGTTGGTCTCAGTGCTTTCCGAATGACCTGTGTGAATGGAGACTGAGCTGTTTGATGGCTGGGAGACTGAGGACACGCCTTCTATTTCGATGTCACAATGCTCACACAACACTGCCAGGAGCTTTCTGCGGCTGGTTTTGATGTGAGGAAGTTGCTCCACGTGAATGCGGGGAACGGTTGGATGATGGTGCTTGATATTGTGTGCACAGCCCAATCAGCACAGCTTGAAGCCGGAAGGCTGGTTGCATCCGAGTGGCTCTACGACCAGCTGCTCAAAATGGTGCGGTTCAGCGACCTATTGCATTTGCAGAGGCATTGTTGCGAAGAGAGGAGGAGACATTTCTTGCTGCGTAACATGTCGTGGTATATATATATATATTGTAGCGACATATTTTCATGTGCTCAAAGGGAGGATGCAAAGATCCCTAGACCCGTTTCGAAGCAAAGTGCACCAGATTTGCCACGTATGCGGAATGGTGGTGATGGGGGATGCAATGGATTTGAGGAGCCTGGCGTCACTGTGGAGTTTGCGCCTCCAAGTGTACCGGCTGCAGACGTAGCTGTACCAAAGGAGCGGTATGGATGCCGCATTTGCCTGGAGGGGCCAGGCCAGGATGCAAAGACTGCTTTGGCCTATTGTTCGTCAGTCTGCCGAGACCGGTCTAATCCAGACTACAAAGAGCGAAAGTAGTTCTTGATTTCTTGTCTAATCTCGAGTCTGTCGTTTCTGTTTTGGCAGGGGAAAATCGGGAACTTCTTGATTGCTGCGCTTGCCGCGGGAGTGTGTGCTACATTTGCCAAGAGTGTTTATTGCTGCAATGGGAGGCACAACCAGAGAAGGCGGGATCGCCGACTTTGTTTTTTGAAAAGGCAGTTTCAGTTTTTCCTTGCCTCACCCTCTTTGTTTGTTCAGTCTGAATCTCAGCACTTTTGACACAGATCCCTTGCAAGACATGGGTTCAATCAACTTCATGGCCACGCAGTATGCAGGCTATTTCACACACCCACTCCCCCATATTCAGAAATGGCACCCCCTCCCGGAAAAGCGCATCAGCCTCTGTAAAAACAACATCTACCATGCAGGTCAGGGAAGACAGATTGGACATGTCAATACAGAATGGCCCAAAGGCTAAAAGGGGTCTCACTCACAACTTTAGTAGCATCAAGTGGTTTGTTCCGTCCCCTTGCCATCCTTGGCGAGTAGTGCTGGCACCACAAATACAATATCGATAGGATTGCCTGATTGGTGTCAATGAAAAGTATGTGGATACCACTAGCGTAGGTACACACACACACACACTCGAGATAATGCGTACTAAAATCGAATGCCATATGCCACACGCCCACCTAGGTATGAAAGCCTCAGGAGCCAGGTTAAAGGTATGTAAGGCGGTTTGACCATGAAATGAAATCGAACGGCGAGCACTTGTCTGCAGAACTCGAAACAGGTGCAAAGGCTGGCAAGCTTGTTGTAGTTAAACAACTAGGGCCCAGTGGGAAATGAAAAGTCATCACGAAGCAGGTACGTTGATTCCGCATCGAGAATCCATATCAGTGACTCGTAACAGCCTTTTCGTTGGACTGGTGCTGGTGCCGGATTGGCGTTTCGTTTTGCCCGTGCTGGTGCAGGTGCTGGTGCAGATGCTTGTGCGGATGCTGGTGCTGGATCGGCGTTTTCTTGCGTGGTGCTGGTGCGGGTGCTGGTGCTGGTGCTGCTGCTGCTGCTGCTGCTGCTGCCGCTGGTGCTGGATCGCGGCGTTTTGCTTGGGCGTGCTGGCGCAGGTGCATGCAGGTGCAGGTGCAGGAGCAGCTGCTGCTGCTGCTGCTGGAGCAGCGTTTTGTGCCTGTTGCCACTGTTCCTGCTGACCTACGAAGCCTGCTGTGGCCATGCATTTTGGGACGATGTGGCCCACCAAGCTCTGACCCTGGCTGCCGTCATCACCGGCACCATGTCATGCCAGGGATGACGTCATGTCACGCCCAGAATCATGCCCAAGATGACATCATGTTGTGCCAGGGACGACATCATGTCACGCCAAGGATGACATCGTGTCATGCCCAGAATGATGTCATGTCATGCCAGGGGTGAAATCATGTCCCGCCAGGGGCGGTATCCTCGTGCCTGACGCATTGATGCGTGTAATGCCTTGTGGTATGCATCGTTTCCCCTCGTGGATGACATCATGTCACGCCGCATAGTACATCCTGTCATGCCAGGGATGACATCATGCCAGTGTGACCTCATGTCATGGCAGGGACGACATCATCTCATGCCCGGAATGACATCGTGTCATGCCAGGAATGACGCCATGTCAAGGGATGACGTCTGGCAATGATCGTAATGTCGCCCGGGCAGCTTTGGCTGGTCCTTGCCGATCTTGCAGTCCTACGTCTGCGTTGGGCAAAGCGGGCGCAGTCAGCTGATAGATGTTGCGCATATGGACGGACTGGTCTGATGTTGCGCGCTGCGGTGGCAGCCGTCTGTGGCGTGTCCTTTAAACCTGTACTCCGACCTGCTATCTGGGGTCTATCCGGTGTAGTTTGTTTGTAATCACCTCCAGACTCCCTGCCGTTTTTCTTGGAAGCAATTTCAATACGCCTTGCCACTTTTGGTCAACCCTTGACTCCATTTCATCAACATCCAAACTAACGTCATGGCCATCAGGCATAGGTTCATACATACCATGTATTTTGCATTGTTTCCACCAAGCAGTTTACCCGGTGGGGTTCTATCTTAAGAAACAAGGCTGGCCACGCTGGCTCGCCGTGCCCTGAACTCTGTGTCGGGGCTCTGTGTCCGGGTCTTGTCCCCCTCTTGGCTTGCTTTTTTCACTCTGTTGTCCTCTGGCCACTGGCCAACCCTGTGTCCTCCCCTCGGGTTCTATCTTAGAAAATAAGCTGGCCACACTGACTGGCTGCCCCTGAACTCTGTGGCCGGGCTGTGTTGCCGGGCTCTGTCCTTCTGTTGTCCTGCTGTTGTCCTCTGGCTCTGTGGTTGGGTCTTGTGCTCCTCTTGTCTTCTCTTGTCCCGCTGTTGCCCTCCTCTTGTCCTTCTCTTATCCTGCTGTTGTCGTCTGGCCGCGCTGACCAGCCCTAGCCACACTGACTGGCCGCACCGCTGAACTCTGTGGCCAAGTGTTTAGAATGCCCAATCGGACATATCGGACGCCCGCGAAAGAAGGGGGTTTGCGTAGGGGCCCTTCTCATACTGTTTATAGACGGGGCCCGATAATGTTCTGGCCGCTCTGGCTAACCCTGTGTCCTCCTCTTGGCCTCTGACTGGCCAACCCTGCTGTTGTTCTCTGGCCTTGCTGCCAACCCTCCTCCTCTTGTTCCCCTGTTGTTCTCTGGCCGCTCTGGCCAACCCTGTGCCCTCTGTTGTCCTCCTTATATCCTCCTGCTGATGTGCTTTGTTCGCTGCTTTGTGAGGCAGGGAACAACAATTTTTACCGACTAACCTGTTTGGGGTCTATGCTGGTATTTTATGGTATATTTTTTTCTCTTACAGTTTTGTGAAACCGGGTCGTGGGGTGCTGGTAAACTAGGTGGACGGTCCCGTAAGTGCTTGACACAGTTGTCAGCAGCAACACAACTTGACAAAGTATACTTGACAAGACAACGCAGATTTGGGTTTTCTTGCAACGGAGGGGCACAATTGCGGCCTTTGCCGACAAGCATTTCGTGGGCGAGCGCTGCTGCTGCTGACAGAACGCATGGCTCAATATGTCGCCAAGCGCAAGGTGGCGAGGATCAATAAAACCTGAAATCCAAGATTCAGAATCAACTACAGTAATTGAACGTAAGATGTTTAGGCCAGTTTTAGGGATTTCTAGAGTTGCGGAGCGTGAGCCGAAGTTACGGAGACATGTGGTCAAGATACAGCATTGCAGGAAGAGTCTCAAGAAGCTCCAGATTTGGACCTTTTGAAGCAACAGGTCAATCCCTCAGAGAAGGTTCCGCAAAACCTAATAGCGATGGCCTAGAGATGGCCTCCGACCTAGAGAAGTTTCCGAAACAGCTTAAGAGATAAACATAAACATGGACAATCGAATAAAGTCTGTGGCCTGTGCCGTGCATTTGTCGGTAGATACCACATGGATCTGTTTTGCAGGCGCAGAGCAGGCAAACTCACACTGCTTGCAATATCCAAAAGTGCAGATTGCATTTGAAGGTCACCACAGCCACAGGCTTGTGGCAGCAGGGTCAATTACGCGAAGCTGCCATGCTCTTTCAAGAAGCTATTGAAGGCGCCGCAGCTCTTGAAAGCCTTCAAGGAAGATGCGCGCACTTTTCTGGTTCATGCAATCAAGTGCAACGCATTTTCCTTTCTTGGGTGTGGACGTGTGCAGTCGTAAAGCAAGTGTTCGGTTCATGCCTCCAGCCTTAAGACTTGGCCCACACATAGGCTAACGAATTTGTTATATGAGTTACTGTACAGTTGTACATTTAAAGTGGCCACTGTGATCAGCGCACACAAATTCGTTGAGTTTGTCCTGCCAACCTAGCTACAGAATTCAACTGCCAACTCCAATGCCAAGCTGAGACCTCAACGAGCAACTCAAAGAGTCAAAGCAGGCATTTTCATGTTGACCAATGAGAGAATAGGTGAAACAAGTTAAGCAACCGGTGAAGCGGAGACACCAATCACCTACAGTCACCTACCTTGCTTGCACTGCATGCCCAAACAAGCACAAGCGCATGGTAGGCTGTGGAGAGAGTGACCACCGTCCCTATGCCAGGCCTAAAGCAGTGTGATGCCAAGGCCCGGCCTTTTGAGTGAACAAAGTCTCAAACCAACACCCACATGACTCGAAGCGATATGCGCATGGTGAGGGAACAAGTGACGGGTCTCCTGCAGAAACATTTTACTCTTGCAG